GTCACTACTTCACTGATTTTCACTTCTTGTGGGGGTGTCTGGAACTTAATCTTCCCCAATAAGTGAGGGATCACTGTATATACTAAAATGCAAGAAGTGATTTTTTTCTGGGGAGAATTTTGTAGTTTTAGCTTTGATTATTTTGAGAAAATTTAGCAGTGAGAATGTACTTTTTGCATAAATAGCAACCTTTTTCTATGTTTAAAAAGAGAAAAATTGCCAGGCATGGTGGTGTACACCCGTAATCCCAGCACTTAGAAGACTGAGGTAGGAAGATAGCCATGAGTTTGAGGCCAGCCAGGGCTACATAGTGAGTTCATGGCCAGTCTAAACTACACGGGAGATCCTGCTAAAACAAACAAATAAAAAACAATAAAAGAAAATTAGATGGACCTCAGCTCTCAGGTTATAGTAGGTGTAGGCAATATGTTGTTTGGCAGAACTTTCTGCTTTACCAAACTGTCAATAAGAGTTCTATCATGTCTTTATTTTTGTACAGTGTGATATAGATAGTTCTGCTTTTCTTAGCAAGTAATTGATTAACTGACTCAGAATGCCCAGAGTTGTTTTGACACTCTGTGAATATAGTATGTTCGTCTCAGACAAAGGATGGATCATGTCATTATTTAAGATGTGACTTGAGGAGAAGATGTGACTCCTTCTGATCCCTCCCCATCAGGTTACAAAACATTTTAGTGTTCCGTGTCTCAGAGCCTTGATGATGAGCAGCAGGGTTAGATCCCAGATCTTATTGCCTTTTTGAGAAGCAGTGAGTTAAAACCCATACTGCTAGCTACTCAGTAGACTTTGTTCCTAGGATATTTTCTCCTTTCTGGATTGGTTTGGAAACTTTCTGAGAAAAGCTGCTGGAGGTTGTATACTTTGTTTCCTCAAGGGTGACTCTCATGCTGCAATTCCTGTGTTTAGCTGAAATACTTTCTTTTCTTTAATTCAGTTACCTTTTGAAATTATATCTCATGCTTGTCTGTTAGGAGTAGATGGGTCATGCAGAGGAGTAGAAAAGAGCATTTGGGGCCACAGTATGAAAATTCTTAAAAATGTAATGAGTTTTGATTGTGGATAGAGATCATTTTTGAAGAGACTATGTTAGTGATTCAGGCAAAAGAGCTTTAAAAGCACTTGAAATCCTAGGAAAGAAAAACTAATAGACTGGGCATGGTGGCACGTACCTGTAATCCCAGCACTTGGGAGGCTGAAAACAGGAGGATCACTACAAGTCCAATCTAGTAGCAAGAACCTGAACACCTTGTAGACCCTTCCCTAAAATGCCAAAAAAAAAAAAAAAAAAAGAAAAAAAAAAACCAACCAAACAAAAAAAACCCTATTGATTGAAGATAAAGGCAGATCATTGTTCATTTTTTAAAAAAGTAAAATGATTTGTTGATAGAAGCAGGAGTTACACATAAGAAAACTGAATTACTAAGAAGGAATAAAATTGTTTTAAACTAATTCAAGTTTTCAAACATAGATGATTTTTCATAATATTCCATGGAAAGAACTTGAACTTTTGGCATATGTTAGTGAATTTGAGAGAATGGAAGATGTTTTAAAGCACTGCGCATGGGCAGCTAGATTCGCAAAAGAAGAAAATGGCAGGTTCTGTAACAGAATGATAAACTCAAGACCAATGCCTCATCAAAATTATATAATGTATTAGTAAAAAGATTTATGAACTTAAAAAAAAGAGCAGACCAACTTGTGAGAGATACAAAATAAAATGTCTCATAGTTAATCTGAAAGAATAAATATAAAGGAATAGCAAGAAGAATTCTGGATGAATAATAAGTGAAAATTTTTACTTTCAGGTGTTAAAAATGTGTCATGAAGCTTAAAGTATATGATGATATAAAACAGGCCTAAATATATGTAAGATCTTGACATATGATAAATTAAGTCAGCAGATCAATGAGAAAAATCTAAACTGTAAGTTTTCTTAGGACAACTAAACAACAGTGAATTTCTACAAGAAAAATGAAATATCAGGTGAATTGAGTATTTAAGTGCATACAAGCCTTGAATGTACGTGTACAAAAGCAATATATTTTTAATATAATTAGTTTTTAAATATGGTACCAAAGATAGAAACCATGAAGATAAATTTTGGTAAAATTGGAATTAGCCAATTTAAAAGACATTGCCATGTGTGGTGGCATGTGCCTAAAATCCCAGCACTTAGGAAACTGAGAGACAGAAGGATCACCTCAAGTTCAAGGGCAGCCTGGGATACATAGTGAGTTCAAGGCTAGCCTGGAATATATAGGAAGACCTTGTCTCAGACTCAACAAATTTAAAAGGCATAATGTAAACTGTAGGGAAATTGCTAAATAAAAGTAAGAGCTAACTTAATATAGAAAGAATTCTTTATAGAAATGTTGTTCTAGAAAAAGTTAAACACTTCAGTAGAAAGATGGACAAAGTAGAAAAATACAAAGGCAGAAATCCATATAGCCATTAGTGCACACAAATAAGTCTATATTGTAATCAATAAATATATATGCATAGACATAGGTACATGTTTTATTTTAAGTTTTCTGAGATAAGGTCTCACTGCATGCTTCAGGCTAGCCTTGAATTTTCTATACATCCCAGGCTGTCCTCAAACTCCTGATCTTTCTTGCTCAGTTTCCTAAGTGGTAGGATTAAAAGCCCATGACAACACACAGAAATGTATTTTAGAACAACAATGAAATACTATAGTTTTTGTTTTTTGTTTGTTGGTTTTTTATCTGTCAGATCAGGGAAAAAAGAATGATAGGATAGAATTGGTGAGTGATAGCAAGATATGTTTGTGCTGCTGATAGATTAAAAACTAGTAGTTTTTCTTGAGGACAACTTTAGCAGTACAGATACCCTTAAAAATTCATATTCTTTTTTTTTTTTTTTTTGCGGAACCGGGGATTGAACCCAGATCCTCGCGCTTGCCAGGGAAAAAGTTCATATTCTTTAACATCAGACGCTTCCTTAACCTTATGGAGAATGAAAGCATGGAATGTTATTTGTGAAGGAGCTTGTTAAAGCATTATAATGAATGCTGTAATGGAAACAGCCTGTCTACTTATAGAGTGGAATACTCTAGAAATATTAATAATAAAAATGTAGATACATTGTTATGAAAAATGTTTATGATGTGCTGTAAAGTGAGAAAAGCAAGCATACTAATGCTGCTTAGGGCTGGGGATGTGGCTTAGAGGAGAGTACTTACCTAGCATTCATGAAGCCCAGGATTTCCCAGCATTGCAAAGAATAAAGCAAAACAAAACAAAACAAAAAGACAATGATTTGCTCATTTTGAGGAAGGTCCTGGGATCTGTTTTTAAAATTTATCCCATTTCCTATTTGGGAACAAATGCTGGAAGAATCCATGCTGCATGTTGTAGCCTGACAGATGTCCTCCTTTTCCCCTCTCTTCCCTTCTGTGGTTAGAAACTTACTTTGGCTGTATGTTTGCTACCAAATATACCTTGATAATGCATGGCATATCACCTTTACCTTCAGAGCATTTACTGTTACACTGGGGGTGAGAGGAGTGGGAGAAGTGGCAGGGTGGGAAAAGGAAGAGTCTTCGTTTTGTTGCTCTTTCTCCTTCCTCTACATCTCCCAGAAATAAGCTTACCTTGCACTGTTCCGGGGAGAGAAACTAGATAGCTCTTAGCCTTTGATCATTTAATGTCTCATTGAAAGGAAATGAAGTTAAATTTTTTTGAGGTACTAGGGTTTGAATCCCAGACCTCTTTTATTATTTATTTTGAGATAGAATCTTGCTCAAGTTACCCAGACTGCCCTTGAACTTTTGATCTTCTTGCGTCAGGGACCCAAGTAGCTGGGATTACAACATCCACCACCTTGCCTGGCCAGTTAAAGTAACTCCTTTTTTTTTTTGTGGTACTGGGGACCAAACTCCAGACCTTGCACTGGTCAGGCAGATGTTTATGCCACTGAGCTATATCCCCAGCCCTAAAGTAACTCTTGAGAATAATTTTCTGTCATGTTTTTGACTTTTTATGAAAAAATTTTTGGTATCTGTTTCCTCTTCCTGATCCCAACCAGATCTGTCATCTTATCATCTTTTACATTTGGGTGCTCTTTTCTCTTCAGATTTTTGAAAATTGCTTGAAATTCTTCATTTCCTCCTTTCCTGTCCCAGTGATTTCACTTACTCCAAAATGACTTCAAATGATTTACTCCAAATGGCTTCATGTCTCATCAGCTCTGTAAGCCTTCCTTGAATTTACCAGCATACAGTATTTTGCTGTCTCTTTTGTGAATTTTAATTGTGTTATCTGTGTGACCTAAAATAGCTTTCATACATGTCCTTTGTAATAAAGAAGATTGTTTTATTCATTCTTCACTCTTTTCCTTGCAAGTAAACTTTTTCTAAAGGCAGGGATATTGCTATCCTTCTGTAACCCATGGGATCAAGTACATTACTTGTTTAGAATAAATACTTGTTGTTCCCCAGTAGTTATTCTGAAGAGTAAATTATATCATAAAAATTGCAATTTTTTTTTTTTTTGTGTTTAGATCACTCAATCCTTGGTGTTTCTGCTGTTGGCTACACTTTTCAGTGCATTAACTGGTTTGCCATGGAGTCTTTATAATACATTTGTGATAGAAGAAAAGCATGGTTTCAATCATCAGGTATAATAGAGAATACAATTTGTTTTGGTTTTTTAATGTAAAGACTTTCTTTGCTTCTGGGCTGGTAATAATTTGCTACTTCAGAGCATGAATTGAGAGAAAAGGAACTATAGCTATGGCAGAGATCATGGTTTAAAGTCTTGCTATAAACTCTTCAAGCACTAATGCTTTGTTTTTTACCTGTAGCATTTAAGTGAATTTATTTTCAAACTATAAAATGCAAACATTTACTTATTGTCCTAAACAACCTACTATCATATAACACAGTTCCACTGCATGTTGATTTTTTAAAATTACTCTGATAATACTTTCTTTTTATTCACTTAGTAATTATTTAAAAACCAAAACCAATTTCTCAGTTTCTCATGGCAATGTTTTTTTTCAGACGTTGGACTTTTTTATGAAAGATGCAATCAAGAAATTTGTTGTGACTCAGTGTATTTTATTGCCTGTGTCTTCACTTCTGCTTTACATTATTAAAATTGGGGGTGACTATTTTTTTATTTATGCCTGGCTGTTCACATTAGTTGTTTCTCTGGTGAGTAAAAAATCTTCATATTGTTTTATAAAAGTTTCTTGGTAAGATTATTGTGACTTAATCCTCATTACTATGTCAGTAGCTCTCTAGAAGAGGATGAACTGTAAAGAGGTACTCATGTTTCCTTCTTGGCTTCTGCTTTTGGGTATAGATACGAAAGAACTGACTGATCATAGATTTGCTTCTCTTTCTGCTAACTCTTACAAATTGTAGAAGATAGTTGTTGGTGACTTTTAGTGATCAAGTTTCCAGGTAGTTTTGGGCTGTATATTTGTAAGCTTCCATCAAATAAATGACTGAATGTGATAGTTTAATAATTTTTAACTGACCACCTGTGCCTAAAAGTGTTAATGTTTTGAAGAGAGAACATTTAAGGTTAATAAGAGAAAGAAAGCATACACTTACCTGGTTTGTTTCACCTTCTGCTCCTTGCCTTCCCTTCTCCTTTTCCTCCTTTCTTACCCCTTTTCTGTTCCCTTCCCCATCTTTCTTTTAACCATTCTTTATCCTTTGTTTTTTCTCTCCCACCACATCCTGTCTTTCCCTCTCTTCCTTCCTCTTCTCCTTTCTTTTCAATCTTTTCTCCCCATCTTTCCTCCCTCACTTTTGTCTCCTCTTCTTCGTCCTTCTCCTCTCCCTCTTTTTGTCCTCCTCCTTTCCCTTCTCCTTTTCCTCCTTCTCCTCCTTCTATCTTCTCCCCTTCATTTCCTCTTACCTCTTCTCCTCCTCTCTCCTTGCCTCCCCTTCTCTCTGCTCTCCTCTTCCCCCCTCTTCCTCTCCTCCTTATCCTTCTTCTCAATGCTAGAGATTGAACCAGAGCTTCATACATCTGAGGCAAGTGCTCTGCCTCTGAGCTACATCCTCAACTTTCACATTTTTCCTTCTCTCTTCTGGTATTTTAAATTGTTTCACACCACAAACACCATGTCACAGTCAGTCCCTCATCTGTCAGCTCTTCAGTTCCACTGATAATGAAGTTTATTTTAATCTGAATTACTTGATGCTCATTGCTTTACTTCCCACTGGTGAGACCAAGATTTGGGAGTGGGTGCTGGTTGAATTTACAAATGTCTATTGTATGGCAAACAGAAGTAAGAGGAAAGAAAGCAAAGACACTACTCCAAGAATAGCTAAGTGGGTGCTATTTCAACTAAAGTGTACAGTTAGGAATGGTAGGTAATTTTACCAACCAGTTAACAGTTCTAATTTTTTAAAAAATGTATTTGGTAGAGGGTCTCACTAGGCAGTTCAGACTCGTAGTGATCCTCCTGTTTTCAGTCTTCCTAGTGCTGGGATTACAGATGTGTGCCACCAAGCCTGGTCTCTGTGGCCAACTCAGTGCGCCTGGGAGCAGGGCCGGTATAGCATGTGGTACTGGGGATCAAACCCCAGTGCCTGTGCTTGCCTAAGCAGGCACTTAGTCTGCTGAGCTGTCTTGCCAGCCCAATAACTAATAAAAACATACAGTCAGAGCATACATATAGTTAAACTCTTATAATGCTTATTCAGTAAAGACTTCAAATCTATCATAGTTACTCTAGAAAACCGGGTGTGGTGGTGCAGGTCTAGTTGGCACTTGGATGACTGAGGCAGGAGCATAGCTGTGAGTTTGCAGCTAGCCTAGGCTACATAATGAGTCCATGCCAGACTGAACTACATAGCAAGACCCTGTTTCAAAAAATATAACATTATATAACAAAACAAAACACTCTAAAAGGCAAAGTTACAGTTTATAATTAACTTATAAAGTCCCAGGAATCCCTAAGACAGTATTAAAAGGACTGTTATCACCCAGAGATCTTAATCACTATTAGTTGTACAGTACAGATAAAAGATAAACTTGACAGGTTTACTACTTTGTCAAACTACTACTTTGACTTACTTCATCTAACAGATTCTAAACTTTGGGACTATATGGGAATAGCAGAGCACATAAATTCTATATTTTTACATTTAGGATAGGTGCAATTATTTCAATGCAGTAAATTCTGAAAAATAATAAGTAGTTTTTCTTTAAGAATGTATTCATAGATTGTTTTGACATTTACTTTTCAGGTGCTTGTCACAATCTATGCTGATTATATTGCCCCTTTATTTGACAAATTCACACCTCTGCCCGAGGGAAAGCTTAAGCAAGAAATTGAAGTAATGGCAAAGAATATTGATTTTCCTTTGACTAAGGTGTATGTTGTTGAAGGTAAGGCTACTTGGGGATAATAATATTTTATTGAAGGGGCTTGTTTTGAGACTTCTTAAAATTAAAATTTTAATGGAGCAACAAATTTTTATTGTTTTCCTTTTAAATTTCTTGTTTAGTTATTAGGAGAGTATTTTACATTTTGGCTTTTTAAGATTTATAGGGATTGGTGACATAGTCCACTGATAGAAGCTGGTCTCCTGATGCCAAATCCTGTTCTTGCCTGAAGTTTGATTAACTTTACAATATTATTTTTAATCTTCAGCCAGGCGTTTTTCATACTTCATTGTGTTATATTGCATATTAAAATGATTTACTCACTTATTTTACCTGCATGGCTCTTTTAGGTAATTGAGTTGGACTGTTAAATAGTCAGATTGTACTTAAGCATTAGCTTGGAGGGTCTAAATCAAAAACAAAGCCAACATTATTGACATTGTCTCTGCAACAAAACAGCTAGTATTCTGGAGGATTCTGTTTGACCGATAGATTACTAAAAACTGTAAGTCCCATCAAATACTTCATATTAGTTTTGCTCTGCTTTTTTGATAACTGCTTTGGAGAGTTAAGCTATTTGCTTATGTAAGACTGATAAAGCCTCAAGGAAGCCTGTAAAACTGCAGAGAAAAACTGTTTCATAAGATACAATGACTAAAATCTATACAAATGAATATGTCTGATTCTGCTTTGCTACTTAGAATCTATGGGATCTTAGACAGATCATCACTCTGGGTTTCAGCTGCACTTTTCTCTAAACTATAGTTTGACAAATATTTTCTATGAAAAGCTAGATGATAAATATTGAAGGCTTGGCAAGCTATTTGGCCTCTGTTGCAGCCACTCAGCTCTGCAAAGGCAGCCATAGACAATGCATGAACACGCGGACGCAGCTCTATTGCAGTACAGCTATAAAAATAGCACTGCAAGGGATTTGGTCTGAAAGTCACAGTTTGCTAACACCTGCTGTAAACTTATCACCAGTGAGAAGCAGCTATGTTAGATGAAGGAGTAGTTGCAGAGTGAGGGGAGAATAAAGATGGTCTCAACTGAAGAGAATGAATTAACAGCTGTTAGAAGAATATAGGTCTCAGACATTTAGTAGTTTTTGAGGCTAAGCAGCTAACCAATGGCACAATCAAAACAGCTTAAGTTTCTATGGGTAAAATGGTAGAAGAATAAGCCACCTTATATTTTTTTAACCTCTTGAAACCAATATATTATTAGGTGATAATAAACTGGTATGCACTGATACAGAACAGTCTCTGAGGGCTTTTACTAAAGGAGCTCTAAATGTTTATCACTTAAGTTATAATTATATAGCATGATGCAGATAATGATAATGATAGTAGAGGTAACTGATAAATATGTGCTTATATCATCAGTGCTTGCTTCTTTCTTTCTTTCTTTCTTTCTTTCTTTCTTTCTTTCTTTCTTTCTTTCTTTCTTTCTTTCTTTTTTTGCCATACCAGGGGGATTGAACTCAGGACCCTGTGCCTGTCAGGCAGGCACTTATTCTACTGAGCTATCTCCCAGGCCCTCTGTTTACCATTTCAGAAGAAATACTTAGGAAAGGCTTTCTGGAGGGTTATGACATGAGTTAAGACTTTATGGAAAATCAGAATTTGAGTAGGTTGGAGGTAGCCTATCTGAAGTCAGGTTTTAGAGCAGTGGGCTTGGGTTTGAATCTTAGCTCTATCATGAATTACCTGTGTGATTGTGGGCACGAATAAACTGCTACTTTTGCTAAGTAGCAGTTTATTCATCTGTAATGCATGTTTTTCTTCTTATTAGCAACAGCAACAATCATCACAAATAATTTGAATGAATGTTACTAATATACAGCATATATTATAGAATCATAAATTAAGAAGGATATTACAATGAAAAGTCAAGAATCCTACTCTTAAAAAATATGAGATAGCAGGTACTGTGCAGAGAATTAAATTAGTGTGATGGGATAACTTTATTTTTTTATTCTTTGGGGATAATTTTAGATTGGGCCATCAGAGAAGATTTATCTGAGTTAACAACTGTTAAGCTCAGACGTGAAAGTAGGAGCCGTCTACATTGAGATCCACAGGAAGACCTTGAGCGTCTTTTTCTTTTCTTTTCTTTTCTTTTCTTTTCTTTTCTTTTCTTTTCTTTTCTTTTCTTTTCTTTTCTTTTCTTCTTTCTTTCTTTC